TAATCATTAAAGACCGTGTACTGTATGATTCTATTCATTTCTGTGACTTTCTTGAAATAAGAAAATTACAAAGATGGAATTAGTGGTTTCCAAGGGTGGGGAAGGGTGATGAGAGGGAATAAGGTAGGGGGACCATCATATGAAATCGAGGGTTTCCCTGCTGGTCCAGTGGTTAAGATGCCATACTTTCCCTTCAGGGGGCATGGGTTTAATTCCTGGGCAGGGAACTAAGATCCTGCATGCCACCCAGCGTGGCCAACAAAATTTAAAACAGAAGCAGGAGGGAGGTCTTCATGGTGATGGAATGGTNGTTTCCCTGCTGGTCCAGTGGTTAAGACGCCATACTTTCCCTTCAGGGGGCATGGGTTTAATTCCTGGGCAGGGAACTAAGATCCTGCATGCCACCCAGCGTGGCCAACAAAATTTAAAACAGAAGCAGGAGGGAGGTCTTCATGGTGATGGAATGGTTCCATGTCTTGATGGTAGTGGTTACATGAATCTACACATGTGAGAAAATGGCATGGAATATAGACATAGCCCACGAACTTCAGTTACCTGGTTGATATTGTATTAAATAGTAGAGAGTGACTATGAAAGCTGTGACTACTGTGTGGGAGACCTCTCTGAAATGTCTTTGCATCTGCCTATTAATATATAATCATGACAGAAGTTTTAAAATGTGCATTTTAGTGTGAAAGACTCTAAAATAACGTTATTTAGGCAAAGCTCTGTAGCAGTCTTCGGGGAGCAGAGCTAGCCGGGAACATGCAGACCCCCAGCGTCCACGCTGTCCTAGTCTGTCATCATCATTGATACGAAAGAGCCAGAGATTCTTGGCAACAGAGGTGGCGCGAGGACTCAAGGGAGCCCTTGTTGAATTCTGCACGCCTAGAGTTTTTGGTCCCTCGCTCCATGGGAAGACCCTCACTGTCTCGGGGTACAGTGGCTGGATGGAAGTACGCCTGCAGTCACCACAAGTGTACACCCTGGCCACCCCCTTATGGGCCACCTGTGAATCCAGGTTACGGATTTTGCCTTCTCTGCCCCTTTTTGCTGTCCTGAGCTCCCAGTTTTAGAATCCACCCTCTGGAAAAATCTGCTTTCTGCCTTAGAAAAACACATGGCTGTCTGTGATGCTTAGGTCCACAGACTGAGAATCTGGGACCCCAAGGTCTGGGGCTCTGTGGTCAGCTCTGTGTGTGGACGTAGTCAGCATACTCAGGAGGCCCAGGACAAGGGGACTTCTGCTAGGCTGGCCCTGCTCTCTCCTCTCTAGCCCAGCACATCTGCTCATGGCGATCAGAATCAACCACCAGGGACTTCCCTGACCATCCAGTGGTTAAGATTCCAAGCTTCCACTACAGGAGGGCTCAGGTTTGATCCCTGGTCAGGGAACTAAGATCCTGTGAGCTGCTTGGCATGACCAAAACAAAACAAAACAGAATCAATCACCACTTGGAATTCTCCTCTCCTCTCCTGTTTACCTCTCCATCCATACCCCAGATATGATGCATGCTTGGTCGTATATTCCATGCTGCTGCTAAGTCACTTCAGTCGTGTCCAACTCTGTGCGACCCCATAGACAGCAGCCCACCAGGCTCCTCCGTCCCCGGGACTCTCCAGGCAAGAACACTGGAGTGGGTTGCCATTTCCTTCTCCAGTGCATGAAAGTGAAAAGTGAAAGTGAAGTCGCTCAGTCATGTCCGACTGAGTGACCCCATGGACTGTAACCTACCAAGCTCCTCTGTCAATGGGGTTTCCCAGGCAAGAGTACTGGAGTGGATTTTGCCACTGCCTTCTCCATATTCCATGGTAGGAACCCTCATTTAAGGAGCAAGCAGATGCAAAAGAGCATGTACAGAATAAATTCATTAAATACACACATATGTGTATAAATGGGCTTCCCTGGTAGCTCAGCTGGTAAAGAATCTGCCTGCAATGCAGGAGACACTTGTTCGGGAAGATTCCCTGCAGAATGGTACCCACTCCAGTATTCTTGGACTTCCCTGGTAGCTCAGATGGTAAAGTATCCACTGGCAATGTGGGAAACATGGGTTCAGTCCCTGGGTCAGGAAGATCCCCTGGAGGAGGGCATAGCAACCCACTCTAGTATTCTTGCCTGGAGAATTCCATGGACAGAAGAGTCTGGTGGGCTACAGTCCATGGGGTCACAAAGAGCCAGACATGACTGAGCACGCATGCCTGCATGCATATATATGGGTTATATTTCTTTCCATAATCTTCTAAGTGTTCAGTAATGAATAAGGATTCCTTGAGAATTAAAACTAAATTTGTGATAAGGAAACATCAGACAAGGCTTAATGGAGTGACATGGTACACAACAATTGATCGGTATTCTTCAAAAGACTCAAGACAAAGATGGTGGGAATTGGCTCAGATTAAAGTAGATGAGGGACTTCCCTGGTGGTCCAGTGGTTAAGACTTCACCTTCCAATGCAGGGGATGCAGGTTCAATCCCAGGGAGCTGAGATTGATTCCACATGACTGGTGGCCAAAAAGCCAAAACATAAAACAGAAGCAATATTGTAACAAATTCAATAAAGACTTTAAAAATGGTCCACATCAAAAAAACCAAACAAACCTTAAAAAAAAAGTATTGAAATGGTCACGTACACACGGCTATATTTATCAAGGATAACCACAGGGGCCTATCATATAGCTCATGCACCTCTGCTCAGGGTCGTATGGCAGCCTGGATGGGGAAGGGTCTTGGGGCAGAATGGATACGCGTGTATGTGTGGCCGAGGCCCTTATAGCTTATGTATGGCTATACCCCAATTCAAAACAAAAAGTTTTTTTCAAAGAAATAAAATGTAACCAGAAAATCAAGTTAAAATTAAATATACTTAATAAAAAAAAAAGAGTAGATGAAGGAGTGATGGCCACCAAATGCCACTCAGAATTCTGAGCTGGACCCTGGATCAGGAAGGAGACATTTGTGGGGACTGTCAGGACAATCTGAACAGTTGATAGTCTAACACTGCTGCCAATCCCCTGATTTTGACGGTTGAGCTGTGTGAGATGTGGCCCTGAAGGGAAGCTAAGTAGAGAGTATATGGGAGCACTCTTACTATTATTGCCAGCATTGCTATAAACAAAAAATCATTTCAAAAGAAAGCTAAATGAATGAAATGCAGTCAGTGACAATACCCCACCCCCTAAGATACCTAAAGCCCTAGAGCCCAGCACAACCATGCACTTTTCTCTCCCCAGAAATTCCATCTGCAGGAGCCCAGTGTCCTGGGGGTGACTGACCAGATGGCCCTGCAGTCCTTACTCTGGAAATCCCATCCCTCCAGCCTTCTGCCAGCTGGCCTCTCCTGGAGTGCAGGCCGTTCCCCCTCCTGCCCCGCAACCTGGAGATTCAGCCTGTCCTTTGAGGTCTGACTGCAAAGTTGCCTCCCAGGTGGGTAGGCTGGGACTCCTCTCTGACTTGACAAGGCTGGACGGCCTCTTCTTGCTTGTACCCAGCCCAGGACAGTGGCCGCCCGCCAAGCATCGACTGACTGTATCGTGGAAGCGCTCATGGGCCTTCCTCCAGCAGATGGGGAACCTGGCAGGGTAGTCGTCCTGTCACCAGTGGCTGGTGTGACTGACATGGAGCACGTGCTCCAAACACGTGGGGGAGTCCACCCCCACCCCGGCCATTCTTGTGGTTGTTCCAAGGCGAGGGGCACGCCCGGTCCAGAGAACTGTCGGGAGCACAAAGATGACTTAGTCTGGTAGGACGCCCTCCCTTGTACACCCAGGCCTGGCAGAAACCTATTCTTGGCTGGGGTTTCAGCTGGAGCCACCCAAACGCCGGGCCCACCCCGCCTGGCTTCCCTTTCTTATTGCCACCAATGGGCATCCTTTAGCCAGTTTATGTCAAAAGGCGCTCAATCGGGCTGGCCTTCCGGGCAGACGACAGGCCGAGAGGACCTTCCCGCCCAGCTGGGCATTGGAACCACTCTGCCTAAGGCCAGTGCTGCCAGCTCAGAGCAGCACCACAGAGGAATGGAGAGAGCGACATGGAAATGTACATCACCAAATGTACACGAGACAGCCAGTGGGAACTCAAACCAGTAACGACCCACGGGGTGGGACGCGGAGGCAGGTGGGAAGGGTGTGCAAGTGAGAGGGGACGTGGGTGAGCCTGTGACTAACTCATGCTGAAGTTTGGAAGAAACCAGCACAATGCTGGAAGCAATTGTCCTTCAATTAGAAATGAATGAATTTAAAGAAAGAAAGAAAACACCTCCCGCAAGCTAGATATTTCAGAAGGTATTCAAAGACTGAAATAAACTCCTCTGCCCTAAATCGTTCACCAGGCTTGTGTCCCCATCAGTGAAAAGGACATGGTGACAACTGGCTCAGAGTGGACTCAGGTTCTGATGAACATTCTGAATTCGACAGAGCTTGGGGCCAATTTGGCCATAGAGACCCAGAAAGCAAGGCAGTGAGAGGTCGTTGAGAGCACCCAGGGCGTCTCACTGTTTTATGGCCTATGTAGTCTTAAGCAATCTCCCCTGGGGAGTCCACAGAAGTCAAAGTTCAGTGTCAATTAGGAAAATACAGGAAGGGTTACTCTCAGAAGGAAAGGCAGAGTGCCCCTGTTTCTAACTTTAAAAAAGTACAGAAGGCAAGTAGTTGGAGGAAAGAAACCACAAAATAGAAGTCCATTCCTAACATCTTGAGGATCCAGGACACGTTAGCGATTCCTTCCGGCCTCCGATCACCAGGTGGCCTGCCCAGTACTCGAGCTGGTTTCGTTTTGGGAGGAGGAGACCCACTCACTCTGCAGAAGCCCAGAGGCGCTCTGGGAGGGATTAGGGGACTCCGGGCCCTGAGCTCCACAGGAGACGAGAGGCCACAGCAGCTCTGGACCCGGCGCTCCTTCCCCAGGGGCCTGCTTCCAGCTCCAGGCCAACCCCTCCTTGCTCCCTCCCACCCCTCACCCGGCCACACTTCCTGCAGGTGGCCCCCGTGGCCGCACTCACCAGCTCGGGCAAGAAGAAGGCGTAGGGGATGGTGAGAAACAGCGAGACCCCAGAGGGCACGTCGGGGGGAGCATGGCTGGTGGCGGGCGGGTCCCGGGAGGCCATGCTCTCACCCTCTGCCTGGCGCCCTGGCTTGGCAGCCCGTGCCCGCAGCCCTTCAAATATCACCTCCTGCCTGACACACCCATCAGACGTCGCCTGGAAGGGAAAAAAAAAAAAAGTTCCAGCCAAGCAGGTCCTTCCACTGGCTGCAGCCAAGAGAATCCTCAGTGAAATGCGGTTTGTGCATCAGACAGGCCTTCCACCAGCTGCGGCAGAGCCGCTCAGGAAGGTGAGCAGGAGCCTCTTCCTAGACTTTTTCCTCCAAGGAAGTTCTGAATCCCAGGCACGCTATTCCAGGGGAGGCCAGCTGCAGCAGCCGCTTCCACCTGGTGCCCAGAACAGGCCGAGCTGCCCGCTGTAACAAGGACCGTTCACTGAGGCCGCTCAGTCGCGTCTGACCCTTTGCAAAGCCCAAGGACTCTAGCCCACTAGGCTGCTCAGTCCATGGAATTTCCCAGGCAAGTATACTGGAGTGGGTTGCCATGCCCTTCTCCAGGAGATCTTCCCAAGCCAGGGATGGAACCAGGTCTCCCACTTGGCAGGCAGATTCTTTACTCTCTGAGCCACCAGAGAAGCCCTGAGGACCTCCTAGGAACCACGGAGACTTCAGACACCTCTGGGGCTCCCTACAGCCCAACTCGTGGCTGCTTTGCTTCTTTTCTGAGCAAGGAGACCCAGACTCTGCCAGGTCAAGTCAAGGTCACAGCTTGCCCCGCTTGCCCCTGCTCCATCCTTGAGGACCCCACGCCAGTCCGACTCCTGCCTGGCCCCGGCAATGTGACCCTTCCTTCTCTGTCTGCACTCTCGTCACTGTCCTTCTCTCCTAGTTTTCTCACCCAGCAGATGGAGGCCTCCTTCTCTGGGGTGACTCTACCCCAGTAGGAACCAGGGCCCTCCTCCCCTCCCTGCCCGGCCCCCTCACCGAGCCGATGCCCGGGAGCCGGGTTTGCAGCCAGGCCAGTTCCTTCCTGTCTCCTGCCTGCCTGCCTGCTTCCAGGGCTGTGACCCAGCAGCCAAGAGGCTCCTTTCCTGCTAAAGACGGGGCCTGGAGATGTGGGCCCTTCGCTTGTCTGCCTTCCACTCGGCCACCGTGGAGAATGGCCTAGCGCCCCAGAGTCCGATGGGGACACTCAGGGTTGGGGTGGGGGGTTCCTTCTTACTGGAGTGGAGGGGATGTGAGAGGACCGCCCTGCGAGCTGGGGTCAGGAGACGTCCGCCGCGGAAGGCCAGTTCCTGAGCAAAGACAGTGCTTCCAGGGTCTGCCTCCCCCACCTCCCCTGGTTGGGGGAGAGCTGGGAAAGAGCCAGAGAACAGGGGAGATGGGACGAATGAGCCTACAGCAAAGGCACTGCAAAGAGAGGCAAAGTGTTCGTGAGCAAACGTCGAACCAGTCTGGTTGTGCCCTCCTCCCGGCCTGCGGGGATCTGGCGAGGGAGTGAGGCCCTGATCCCACCTGCCTTCCAGCCCCCGCTCGTCTGCAGGATGGATGTAGCACGCAGGTGCTGCCTGGGACTCCCGCCTCTTGCCGCCTCACCTGACTGCTGTAACTCACCCGTGGCCACTGTCTTGGGCTGTAGGATACCTTGCACTTGGCCACCGACAACGCAGCATTCATGGGAACAGCTCAGGGAAGGCAAGAAGGATAAGAATCTTTCTCCGGCTCATTTCTCATCTGCAAAGTGAAGCTAATACCTGAGGCCAGAGTTCCTGAGAGGTTGACAGAGCCTGAGCCACTTCTACCTTCTGAGACAATTCGTATGTTAAGAAGTGAAGATGTGACAATGCAAAGTTGTAAAAAAAACTGGCATATTTTAAAATATTCTATAGGGCTTTCCTGGTGGCTCAGTGGTGAAGAATCTGCCTGCCAATGTGGGAGACGCAGGTTAGATCCTGGGGTCAGGAAGATTCCTGGAGAAGAAAATGACAACCCACTCCAGTGTTCTTGCCTGGAGAATCCCATGGACAGAGGAACCTGGCAGGCTACAGTCCATGTGGTTGCAAAGAGTCAGTCATGATTTAGCGGCGGAACCACCACCCACAAACATTTTATATTTAGCCAAGTCATGTTTTATTATATGCAACAAAGTATGGCATGCTTACTGAGATTGTATATATTATAGATGCATATGCACATCAGAAAATATTATGATTTTTGCTTTCAACCATCATATATATTTTAAGAGAAAAAAAATCAATGCGTTTATCTAGATATTTACAATTTCTGCTGCTGTTCCTTCATTCCAGATGTCCCAAGCTTTCCTCTGGTGTCTTTCCCCTTCTGCCCAAAGAACTTTATTTATTAATAGCATTTCTTTGAGAGCAAGTCTGTTGACAAAAAATTCCCTTAGTTTTCCTTTTTTTATTTTTTATTTCTAAAACTTCAGTTTGGTTCTTTTCATATCAAATGTTTCTCCAATGAGACCGTCTATCCATCTGTTCATTTTGAGGGGCTTTGCTCTGACCTCTTGGAGCACGGTTGTAAGAAGCTACTTCAGTGTCTCAATTCGACTGTGTCATCTCAGCGTTGTCGTCTTTTGTTTTTTGTTTCTTCCCTTTGAAAGATACTGAGATTTTCCTAGGTCTTCAAATATCAAGTCACCATGGATCGTATCCTGGGAAATTTGAATATTATGTTATGGGATTATGGGTCTTCTTTAAATACTGTAGGAAATGTTGGGACTTCCCTGGTGGTCCAGTGCTTAAGAATCCACCTGCCCATGCAGGGGACATGGGTTCGATCCCTGGAATGGGAAGATCCCACATGCCACAGGGTGGCTAAGTTCATGTGCCACAACTTCTGAGACTGCGCTCCACAACGAGAAAAGACCCAGCAGTGAGAAGCTCTCTCACGCAACTAGAGAGCAGCCCCCACCTGCCTCAACTAGAAAAAGCCCGTGCACATCGATGAAGACCCAGTGCAGCCAAAAATTAATAAATTTTAAATAAATTGTTTTGTTTGTTTTAGCAGCCAGCGGGCCTGATCAGATGCAGGCTGCAAGTTCCTGCCTACCTTCTCTGGCATGAAACCTCCCGAACAGCATCGGCTCATCTTTTAAAGCGGTGCAGTGCTTTTCAGACCTGTTTGGTGTGTGTGCTAGCCTTGGACCTGGGATCAGTCTGGGACCGTGCTGCTCAGCTACAAAGTCCTCTGGTGTGTTCTTTAGGGGCAGCTATGCTTCCCTGGTTGCTCAGCTGGTAAAGAACGTGCCTGCAATGCAGGCCAAAAAGCAACAAGCTATACTTACACAGAGAGAAATCGAGAGTGAGAGAAGGAGGGAGTTGTCACCATGCTGTTAGGACCACAGTCCCTTTGGTCAGGGAGAAGGGCTCTCCTCCTCAAAGTTTAGGCACCTGTCTGGCTGCCGCTGCTCAACAGTCACTAGACTGCCTAGGGTCGAGGGCAGGAGAGAACGGGAAAAAATACAAACAAACAGGGGATTTCTCTACTCTGACCAGTGGTGGTGCTGGTGGTTCAGTGGCTGAGTCACATCTGACTCTTTGCAACCCCAGGCTCTTCTGTCCATGGGATTCTCCAGGCAAGAACACTGGAGCGGGTTGCCGTTTCCTTCTCCAGGGCATCTTCCTGACTCAGGGATCGAACCTGGGTCTCTTGCATCGCAAGCAGATTCTTCACCGATGAGCCCGCAGGGATGCCCCCGTCTGACCAGTACAGGCTCTCTTTCCCAGTCCTAAGCCCAGAAATGAAGCACTTCTTTGGAGAGGTGTTTCGTCTGTATCCCATGCACATTCTGGACTTCATGTTACTCTGAGTCCAGGCCTGGAGATACTGGAGGGGGATAAAAATGGGAAACCCACCACTAGTTTGGTAGTATTTGGAGTTCTGTTTTCCTTCCCAAATCTTCCCACTTCTACTTATTTTTCAGAGTCCTCAGAAAGCTGTTCCATGCATTGTGTCTAGGACTTCTGTCCCATTCAGTGGGAAGAAAACGCTTAAATACCCATCTCTATTTGACCAGAGTCCAAACTCCACCAACCTGTTTTGATTCTCTGCATAGCACTTACTCAAAAATGTTTAAAATTTTATGTCTTTATTTATTTGGCTGCATCGTTGCAGCATGGAGAATCTAGTTCCCTGATCAGGGGTAGAACCCGAGCTGCCTGCATTGGGAGCTCGGCATCTTAGCCCTTGGACAACCAGGGAAGCCCCACTCCCTCATATTTTTGTTTATTGATTCATTTGCCTGTTGCTTATCTCCCACCCCTGCCCCTTCCTACGATGTTCGTTTCAGAGAAGCCGTGACTTTATTCATATTGAATATTTCTGGGCACAAACTAAGCACTTAACAAAGGCTTTCAAATGACTGACTCTGCCCTCTTGGTCAGAAAGACTTTGAAGACAAGTGTTTCTGTCTTTTTTTTGTCTCTTCTTCCTTAAGTAAGTAACTTACTCCTCTTGAGTAAGTTACCTTATACATTTTTCAGAAAAGATTTATTGGTTGCCCAACAGATAAGGGGGAGGTCAGGAGAAAGCCAGAGATGCTTGGGGAAAGAACAGACATTGTACCCATTTCTCCTACTGCAAATGTTAGAATAACCCATCCCAACTGGTTTTAACAACCAAGGAGACTTCTTGCCTTGGGTAGGTGAGAAGTTGAGGAAATGCTGGCTTCAGGTAAGGCTGGATGCAGTGGCTAAACAAAGCACCTAGAGCGTCTCTGTTTGCCAACCCTGTCTGCTGCTGTCTGCTGGCTTCTTTCTTAACCTCACTCGGCATACCTCCCATGCACACAGCTCTAGGCTCTGGATTTCTGGAAGTGAAATTGCTGCAGGGACACTCGTGTCCCGCAGGCTCTGGCCTGTTCACTCAGACACAGTTGCATTGCAATTACTCTCTCAACCAATCAAGGTCACTTCAAACTTCAAATGAGGGAGTTAGAACATACATGCCAAAGGACCAGGCTTGGGAGGAGGCTGTGCTTAATGGCTGTGTCTGGGGCCATCTGATTCCCAGTGCCCTTTCAGTCTGGGCAGGCACAGAATTCTTTTATTTATTTATTTATTTCCAT